TTCCTTCCTTCCTTCCTTCCTTCCTTCCTTCCTTCCTTCCTTCCTTCCTTCTTCCTTCCTTTGAGGTAGGGTTTCTCTGTATAGCCCTGGCTGACATGGAATTTGCTTAGACCAGGCTGGCCTCGAACTAAGAGATCTGCCTGCCTCTGCCTCCCAAGCACTGGGGTTAAAGGTGTGCATCACCACTGCCTGGTTCTCTCTTGTTATTAGTCCTAAGGCACAAACTAAACCCTTGGCCCAACCTCTAAAGGATATAATACTAGGTATGTTGTTAAAATTTAAGAGGAATAGTTATTCATTTCCCGTTCTACTCTTCTCCCCCAACAAGGTCAAGAAATGCTAAGAATTTTACACTTGAAAAATACCCTGGGGCTGGTGAGATGGTTCAGTGGGTAACGGTATCTGCTGCCAAACATACTACCCAAACTGACGACCTGAGTTGCGTTTCCTGGACTCATGTGGTGGAAAAGAGCTCCCGCAACTTATGTTCTAACCTCTGCATGTTTGCTGTGACATGCACATATCCCCCTCATGCCCCCAAATAAATACGTAAGTAAGTAAATAAATAACTATAGATAGATGGTAGATACATACACACACACACACACACACACACACACACACACACACACATACATACATACATATAATAAAAATTGTGAACCCATGCCGATTTGTGTCAGGAAGATAGCTGTTTCTTTTGATTTTTTTTTTTTTTTTTAAAGAGTTGATGCTCTGTGCTAAATTTAGCATTATCAAAAACTGTTTAGGATGCCTCATGGAGAGATCAGTGTGCTTGGTGCTCTGTGCCGTAGCCTTTTCTCCACGTCAAGCTCTGCTGCTTGGGAAGAAATAGCTACAGAACACCTGTGCTTTGCACCTTAGGAGAGACTCCATAGAAGCAAACATTCTGTAGACTTAATTCTTTGGGGCTTGCAAACTTCACTTAGGCCTTGCCCAATGTAAATCACCTTAAACCCTTCATCATTTTCAACCCATTGTGGGGGGATGGAGTGGGAAGGGGAGGCTGGGATGTCGGAGAAAGAGATTTTTCCAAAGAGTGCTGATATTTGTGAGTAGCAGAATATTGAAATGGTCATACGTGTGTTACTGTAATTTAATATGCAAACACGCTGAGGCAAGGGAGAGTTTTTAAATTACATTTTATTTATTTTGTGTATAGAGGTGTGTACATGTACCACAATGAATATATAGAGGTCAGAGGACAGTTTGCAAGAATTCTCTTTTTCCGTTATGAAGGTCCTGGGGCTAGAACCCTGCTCCTCAGGCTTGTTGGGCAGG